GCTTCCAGTTGTTGAGTTTGCGCTCAACAACGCGGTGCACGCGTCCACGGGGTTCACGCCGTTCTACTTGAACGGCTTCCGCCACCCCAGAGTGCCTCTCACTCTTCGAGGAACACTGACTCCTCTATTCTAAGTGGGGGAGAGGCTCGGAAAGCCCTTTCCTCCCAGGTCTCGGATGTGAGGCCAGTTTCGCTGCGGAAACAGGTGGAATCCTTTATGGATACCAAGCTGAACATTGTCAGCAGGGTCCGCGATGCCATGGCAGCGGCCCAAGATAAACAAAAGGAGTACTCGGACAAACAAGGAAGAGGAAACTTAAGTATATTTGAGATTGGTGACTTAGTGTTACTAGACACGAGGAACCTACCTCTAGACACTGTTAGCTCTGTCGGCAGCAACAAGCTGAAGCACCGCTTCATCGGACCTTTTGCAGTCCTGGCCAGACATGGTGCGTCGTACACCATCGACCTTCCAAAGTCAATGACGACGCACCCGACGTTCTATGTCGGACGTCTTAAGCGGTACTTTGACCCGCAGGGGGTTGCTGACTCGCAGACCCCCCTTGACCCAGCTCCTCGAAGCGAGGGCCGGTCACAGTCGTCGACGAGGGCGTCGGAGCAGGCACCCAAGCCTCGGTCGGGACGGCAAGGCTGCGGTCAAGACCGTACGCCGGAGGGGCTCCATACGAACGGACCCCGGCGCCATACGCCGAGTACGCTGAGTACGCCGGGTACGCACCATACGCGTACGTCTGGGAGTGTGCCGCAGGCGGCTCCGGACGTGGCAACAAAGCCTCGATCCGTCGGATCATGCGAAAGGCCTCGTCCAGATCGGACGAAGAGGCCCGGCGGTCCACCCGCAGGTGCAGGCTCGCGACCTCTCGCTCCACCAGGTCCAGGCGACCCGCAAGACGAGCGAGCTCGCCCTGATTCCCGGCCTGGGCGGCAGCATTACCGCCAGTCCCAAGGCCAAGTGCAATCTCAAGCACGAGGAGACGTTGACGGAGGCGGTCAACCTCAGGGTCCCGTGTCGGACCCGCAGTCGGAGCACTCGAACGAGAGTGGCTCTCGGGAGGCGCCGAGTACTCGTACTCGTACGAGGGCACCTCCGCCCCTGCTTGACCGGAATGGAGAAGTCCACTTCCACGTGGAGCGGATCCTCCAGGAGCAACGGTGTCGCGGGAAGCGACAGCTCCTCGTGAAGTGGAGGGGTTATGCCCACTCCGATAACTCGTGGGAGCCGATTGAACGGCTCCTGATTGACTGCCCGAAGGCTGTCGCAATCTGGGAACAGAAGCGGCGGCAGCTTCATAAGTAGTCCGGGGCTTCTTGCCCGAACGGGGTACGGATGATGAATACATACCGTACCCGCGCTCATCGTGAGCGCTAGAAGCCGCGCGCTTCAGGATGTCCCTTGGCAGCATACGCTTGCTGATCAAGTGGGCAAACCTCACACGAAGATCACGCTGGTCCAGGATGTGGGACAGCTGCTGATCTTCATGGAGTTCCCATAACTCCGTGGGCGAGTACTTGAGAGTCTCCACCCACGCCCAGAACATGTCCTCACAAGAACCCCATGTGGGACAGTTCTCGGGCATAACCCAGGGGTATCCCCAAACAGGATAGAGACCACCCCGGGTCTCGGGCTTCTTACGACAAGTCGTGAAGTCCTTAAGGGGAATGCGGTGTGGCGCGAGAAGCACACACCGAGCAGCCTCCACGTTGTCGACGAACAACTGTTCTTTCTGAACAAGGGTTTTTTTGTATATTGAAAGCCAGTGCTTCCTCTTTACGTGGGAAAGATCGTAAAAAATTAAATTTAAGCTACTTGGTGAGAATCCAAAAAAACCAGGGAAATAACGCCGGCCGGTAAAGAATCTGTTCTTTAGTCATTAGGTAAGAGCACTTCAGCGTTAAAACGTAACATTAATTCAAACAGCTTCAAGCAAACAGGGCAAG